AGATAAGAGGTTCTCTGTAGGGAAACCGTTCCCTCGCTTTTCTCCTTCTCGGCCAATGCACACACTGTTGTTTCCAGGGCGCCATCATTTCCTGAAAGCAGATGCTAGAGCCTGGTGAAGTACGGAAACATGCAGGACCATCCTCACACCCCGCTGATGTCAGCTGGTTTCCAGTTCACTGTGACTGCAGGGCAGAGTAGGACTCCCTCTCCACAGAGGGCTGGCAAGGCTGTAGGTCTTTGGAGAAGCAGACTGCCACCTCTTTCTCCCATAGAGCAACTGGTGGGTTTGAAACACGGGTTTCTTGGTCAGCCATTGGCTGATTTAGACATTACACCCCCAGGGCGCCTACTGGACATTGGGAGGAAGGAATTTCAAGCTGACATCTGCTCCATTCAGTCAGCAGGTGTCCCCTGAGCCCCACAATGCCAGGGCCTTGCTGAAGGGATAGGGTCATGATCCTGAGAAGATGGACAAGTCCCCCAGGGGATGGAGGCACACAGGAAACAGCAGAAGAGGCAGGCAGGAGGACAACAGAGCAGCAGAGCCCAGAAGTGGGTTTTCTGTTCATGGCTGTCACTGAGTTCCCCGCCCTGTGGGGACTCTGGCACAAAGGAACACAAACAATGCAGCCAGGCCCAGCACCCCCCGTGATTGACTGTGGCTGGGACATGGTGATCCACTGGGTGCTCATTGGCTGATTTTTTTCCCAAGTTGATTACCAGGAATTTCTTCCTGACCCATCTTAGTCATAGCATCACAGCCCACAGGAGCACCTGTGGTTGTGGGGGAGATGAGATGCTCCCCGTGCAGGTGGCAATCAAATGGGAGCATAGATGTGTATTCCCTGAGAAAGTCAGGTTGCGGAAGATCTGCAGGAAGGCTATTCCAGGCAGAGGTGCAGTACACGCCAAGGCCCTGAGGTGGGATAGCTGGCTTACTCTGGGGACTTCCAATGAGGCCAGTGTGCCAGAGCACAGTGAGTGAGGGAGAGTGGGTTCAAATGAGGCTGGTCTGGAGTCTGCATTTTGGTTTATTTAAATTGGAAGTTGTACATAGATCATTCCATAGTTCGATCCCACGAAGCAGTATTATACAATTGCTAACACAGTTTCCAAACATTCTTTTCCTTCCTGGACTCCTTGACATCAGCTCCTTTTTAACATCCCCCCACCCCCCACACACCATCAACACTGTATACTCCCCCCAAGCCCTTTTTCTACTTGCTGCCCCTATAGGTTCATCAATCCTGAGGTTCACACACCAAAAAAATAGAAAGACATAGAACATATCTTCAAGAGAGTGACTCCCAATGACATATAACCCCTCTGGCTAAACCCTAATATGAACAAACAAAAAACAAAACAAAACAAAAATACAGAAAATGTTGAACACCAGATCAGGCCCAGAGTGAGTGCATCAGCAGGTAGGGATCAACTGACAAAGTTGTAACAGTTCAAGTCGGGGAAAGCCATTTTGAACAGGATCTTACAGCCTGTTTTTAATTTAATTTTTTAACAGATGGTTCTGGCAACTGTGGGATGTGAGAATGACTTTGAAGAGGGCTGGAGGAGAAAGGATGACCTAGTTGGAGGCAGTGGTAGGAATTTAGGCAGAGATGATAGGGACCCGGACCAGACAATGGTAGTGATAGGGATGGAGAGATAGGTTCCTTGTGCTTGAGTATGTATCTGAGTATGTGTGGTGTATTTCTGTGAATATGTGGTGTGTGTGTATTTGTGTATATGTGTTATATGTCTGTGTGTGTTAGTGTAGTATGTGCCTCTATGTGTGTGTATGTGTAGGGTATGGGGGGTGGTACCTGTGAAACAGAAAGTAAACTTCAGCTCAGGGCCGTGGGGCTCCGGCCCTTCAAGGCAGAGCAAAGAGCCCGAGCAGCGCCCAGATGTGGAGATAGAAGTGGCCTTAAAAAAATTAATTGCAAAAGAAAAAAAACCAAAAAAAATTACTTGTATTATTCCATTTTCACCTCCTACATTAGCAGGCGCTCTCGAGAGAAAGTCAAGGCCACTTCCTTCAGTAAATGTGTGCAGCTCAGATCGCTGTGCGGGGCTCTGAGTTGGAATGAACACAGGGGGGGGGGGGGTGTGTGCTTTTCTTTGTTTTGTGTATTCCTGTGAAGCCAGTTGGTTGTTATCCATCTTTTGATCTTTTGCCCTTGAGAAAATAGTGACCCCAGTGTCACGCAGCTAATAAGAGAGTGAGCAACATGTCCTATAAGAGGTTTGTATTCATAAAAGGGGTTGATGGCTATCACAATTAAAATTCCCTGAGGAGCTTATTAGAAAGATAAATTCCCAAGCACCACTATGTATGTTCTGGGGCCTACCTTCCAAGGGTTTTAGAACTGCCTTTGTAGGGGACAACGATTTGAAGAGTTTCTCACATGATATTCCTTTGCCCTCTTCCGCTATTCTAGCCCAGACCCCAAATAATTTCAGTAGCTTTAACATTCTTATTCTCCTTGTTTTGAGTAAGTGATACATTCACATAGCTGAAATTGCAAAATGATTTTTTTCCTGGAAGCCATTCCACACGAGGACCACGTGAACATTTTTTAAATGCCCACCTTCACGTTATTATGTTTCCTCATCCCATTTCACTTCTGTTCATATCCTCCAGCAGCTCATTGTCACAAGAAAACGCGACATGCTTGGCGCAAGGGCAGAGCCTGCAAGTCTGTCCAGGACAGTTTCCTTGGTCAGATAACGCTTTCCCTGAGCATTGCTGTTCTGTGTTGCTGTGGAGTTGGTGCTGCCTCACGGCGACTCCATGTCCCGCAGAGAAATGCTCCCTGGTCCCGCAAGGTCTGCACTGTCAGAGTCGGGCTCCCAGCCTGCGACAGGGGAACACACCTCTTCCCATGGCAGTGGGCAGTATTCTGCTGCAAGTCCTTGGCTGATTTGGGAAGAACATCTGAAGGCCTTTCTGCCTAATCTGTCTTTGTCTGGAAGCTCCACTGAAACTTGCTCACCATGGGTGGCACAGCTAGTGTTTGAAACACCAGTGGCCTAGCTCTTAGCATCACAACAACATGAAAACCACCACAGTACTGCAAAGCTGCAGGCAGATGGTGATCACCTGCATTGGACGTGAAAATGGCCAGCAGGATCCTGTGCCTGGCCCTGCCTGCTGGGAGGTGCTAATGACCCGAGCTGGATGTGAACTTCTTGGACCAATGCCAACAGATCCTCCTTGAAGTGGGCCTCCTTGCCCTCCTCTGTGATCAAGTGTATGATTCTGGGAGGATGGTAGAGGGTGTCACAGTAGGTCACCAAATCTTGTTGACTGTTTAGCTCTGGATTCATTAATAGCAGGTAGTTGAAAGACTTTTGTGTTTGAGGGCACTGGACATATTGATGCAATGTGCACGACGTTCCTTTTCAGAAGGCCTGTGTGTATAACATGGTTATCAATAGTGCTCAAGCTGTCCTCTGGAGACTGACTCCCAGGGTGGCTCCACTGCTTGTGGCTCCCTGGTGGCTCTGAAACAACCCCAAAGATCACCTGTGTCAGGCCAACAGCACTTCTTTATAAACCACCTTTGTGATGTGTTACCAAAGTGGCCTTCCATTCGCCAGCATCAGGCTGCTGAATTACTGTGGTTGAGTTGAATTCTTTGCCACTCTCAGAGTTGTAACCTTTATCCCAGATCACAATCATGAGGATGTGACCTAGTGGGGATCCTTTGTCACTGAAGGCAAAGGGGGCTTTCTACTGTAAAAAGTTACCTTCTTGGAAACCTACAGGGGCAGTTCGACCCTCTTCTATCAGGTTGCCTGGAGTCAGAATTGACCAGATGGCAGTGAGTTTGGTTTGGCTGTGTTGGCATCAAAGTGGATATTCATGCACTTATCATTATAATCCCGAGTCAAAGCTCATCGAAGCTCCATGAAGGCAGCGGGCCTGATTTGCTTTCCACTGGATCTCTAGGTACATGAAGGGCACTTCACAATTGTGTACAAAATGACTGAGTGGACACGTGGAGGACAGGCGCCAGATAGACTGCCGCCTGACTAAGAAGGGTCAGGATGCACGCACGCACGCTCCCAGGCATGCACACATGCACTCACTCACTCAGAGAGAACCCTGGAGGTTAATTCGTCCCAGCCCCAGTGTGAGTGGCCTGGGGGTCAGGGCACGCTGGGCTTGGTTCAGGAAGGGCTGGCATGCCTCCATAGGAGGAAGCTGTGCACAGAAGCGGAGAATTCATTATAACTGGTTAGTCATCCGTGGAGACTGTCGATGCTGCTGCCCTGGGTGTGGTGCACCTGGGCTCCCGGGGCAGGGCCTGTTCCTTGCCCTCCCTGCACTCAGAAAAAGCAGCAGATGTCCTCAGAGATCAAGCGCAGCACTTGCTGCAGGAACGTTTTCCTGTAGCTACTAAGCAGGAGGGTCAGCTAGGATTCTGGCCAAGCCCATTCAGCAAACTGATGTCTACTCAAACCCATTCTCCAGAAACTGGGGGCACCGCAGCGGGAGGGTGGGTGTCAGGGAAGCCTGCAGAGCCCTGTGGCAGAAAGGTATACCCATAAGACAAACCCCGGGGGCCGGCTGAAGGATCCAGAGGTGCGAGCCCAGGGCCCGCCGAGGTCACCTGAGTTGCATTTGGACCAGCGACAATGACTCAGCTTCACTCGGCTCAGTCTTCAAAACCAAACCGACCAAGGGCTCTGCAAAGTTTCCAGCCACACTTCCAGACCTTGTGTGGGGACAAAGGGACGTCGACATCTGGGGCGGAGGCGGGGTGGGGTGGCGAGGAAGGGGGAAGGAGAAGAGCGTGGAGAGAGCCCGATGCTCTAGACACCAAGGGCTGCCCTGGACTTCCTTCACCTGCCGTCCTCTGCCGGCCTGCAGAATGCCGCCCCGCCGGCGTTCTGCTGGCCCCCGGCCAGTGGCGTGGGCGTCCGAGTAGGGAGAGGGCGACCCCCGGATCTCAGAGGACTCAGTCCTCCAATTCGGGGAATCGGCTGGTTAGGATGGGCTTGGAGCCGCCCCTGGCCCTTTCCCTGTCCTTGATGTCCTCGCCGCGGCCGCGCGGACCCCAGGCCTCCGCGGGTCGGAGCTCGGGCTGCTCGGAAGCCCTGGAGCGCGTCAGGGGCGGCCTCGCTGCGGGGTCCCCACGCGCTTGTGCGGCCGCAGTGCCGCCCTCGGAGTCTTCCCGGGTCCCGCTCTGCGCCCGGGAACTGCCGCGCGCAGCAGCACCTACCGCAGCTGGAGGAGCCCCTGCCTCAATCCATCCTGCCGCGCCGCTCCCCGCGCCCGGCGGCTCCAGCCCGACTTCGGCCCCTTCCCCTGCTCCCTCCGGAAATCGGGCGGCGCAGGTGGGGTTGGAGCCGCCCCGGAGCGCGGCAGGATAAGACCCCAGGGCCCGAGAGGCAGCCTGGCGGGGGGCGGATAGGGCTTGCGAGGCACCGGCTCCGAGCAGTCACTGGGCAAAGTGAGGGGCGCTGCGGCCGCTCCCCCGCCTACCTCCGCGCCCCTACTGCCCCC